GGCTATGGCGCCTGAGCGCTCACACATCCTCTGTCCAACACTGTATTCACACAACCGTGCCACGCACTCGACTCTGGATCTCCCTGGATATCCCATGCGCACCAACTCAGTACACAACACACACACACACACACACGCTGGACTCTGCCTTTAAGCTACAGCGGCTATGGTCGTCTAACCCCTACTGGCTATGGATACTCTATCTCCCTTCAGCCCACTTCGACCTCGGGCATCTGCTGACCACCTTGCACAAGACGCTATGGCAGCGCTTCCGCATGGCTCACGCAGGAATGAATGAATGGCTGGACGCTGCCTCTTGATTTATACTTCTGTAAGTCGCTGATCTGCCCTTTTCCATCGGGCCCATGGTGCACACAGTCCCTCATGGTACTTGCTGACTGTACAAAGTGAGACTGGGACTGGGTACCGCTGACTAAGTGAAGTTGGACTCACCACTTGCCCACTTGCCTCTGGTCTGCTGTGAGAAACGTGAGAAAAACTCGAGAGGCCACTTCCGGACCTTCCGGACTTGGCCTTTCGGAACTGTACCAGCTACGACCTTGACCTTTCAGGACTGTAGCAGCTATGACCTTGACCTTTCGGAATTGCTAAGCTACGGCCTCTACACAAATATGACCCCTAGTCGACGGACCTACAGATCGAACCCCTACAGCTACACAGACCTACGACAGGCAACAGTCAACTACCAAAACACAGGTCACGGGTTCAAACACACAGGGGTCGACTTGGTACTGTACATGGGTGTGGTAAGGTCTAGGGATCGAGCCCTGGGATCTGCATCTGCTACTGCTAAGGTGAAAACCGTTTCAATTACAGCCACAGTGTAGGTACAGCTCATTCATTTTGAAAAGTAACGAGTCAAATGACCTTTTTGGAATGGGGCATGTTTGCTTTCTTTTGTTTTTTTTGCTCTGTTCCCTTTCCTAAGTGAGACTAATTAAATTATGAACGCACCTCCACATGGAGATTGAACAGCCGTTAGCAATTGTGGAATCATGACTAAAAGTGAAATGAGGACAGTGAATCAGTAGTTATGAATAATGGATGATGAGTGATGAGAACGTGAGAAATTAATGCACGTTCAAGTAGAAAAGATAGCACATCATGCGAGGCTTTCTTTACTTTCCACGAGGACACAAACTGCAACAATGGAACTGGAGCCATCGTATTGATTCCTCCAGCTCTGCCTCGTCTACTTGGGAAGAAATGAGTGGCCAACGAGAAGTTACGACTAGTGCTAAACGGAATGGCACATTGTCCTTGAGTTTGCTTGCATCTGTTTTCTGTGGCTGCTGCATTTAATGATGATTGATTTTATTTAACATGCCTGCCACAACGCTCGTCTTTATCGGCATGCTGATGTGATCATGTATAATCAGGTGCTAGATGGTGAGTCTGTTCCCATCAGGGTGACCCTGGAGCTTCTGAGCAGAGTAGTCGAGGAGGAGATGGTGCGCATTGAACAAGAAGTAGGATCGGCAAAGTTTGCATCAGGTCATTTCAAGAAAGCAGCAATGATATTTGGGAAGCAGTGCATGGCAAAGAAAATGGACGAATTCCTCACCCTCGGTGCATATAAGCACATTGTGCGCCTGGCACCCGAATCGCGTTTATGAAGGTAATCCGCTGCCAGTGCATGTGTATGGAGATGGAGCACTGTTGGTGTATCCCCCTTAGGCTACCCGAGTGAGCTACTCAACCACCAACCTGATGACCAGAATAATGATCCTGTTTCCACTCTTTCTATCGCATCGGAAGTTGAGGTGCTGACTGCGTCCTTGATACCTATATTTGCCTGTAACAAGAACTAGCATTCCCAGTGCGGGCAGAAGCCCGCAACAGACATGGCAAGAGGATATGCCATACAGAATCATTCCTTATCAATTTCGAAAGAGACAAATCAGTTCTACAGTCCAGAATTGACATGAGGAGCATGGAATTCTAACCCATGCTCTCTCTCTCTCTCTCTCTCTCTCTCTCTCTCTCTCTCTCTCTCTCTCT